AGATTAGTGATAGTGAGCTTGGGCTCGAGGCGACAGTCTGTCGCCCAACGTAGCCGCGGTCAAGGGATGAATACTTTCTCTAGCAGAGGCATGGAGTAATTTTATAACTCTCCTTAAGAAGGAAATAGTTGTAACACTCTACAGTAAACGTTCGAACGGTCTCTGTCCCATACCTCACCACACACAGACCCTATTCTTCGAGTAAGATGATTGTCAGATGCCGATGCGTCTGCGCAGTACATGTTCAGCCCGAGGGCCCGTTATAAATCTTAAGATTTAGCTGACTAAAGTCCTTCAAACAGTCTTTGCCCCAACTACGGGAAAATAGGGGAAACCTATTTTTCAACGAGCAGCGCCTCCCACTAGCAACTTTTCCTCGAGGGCGGCTAGCATCTTTTTCTAACCACCGATATGGAGATTGATCAAATTAGCAGCAACGCCGATTTCCCTTACTTTCTGAACGAAGGCTTTTCTCGACGAGTCCGATGATCTCGTATCCTTAGACACGCCGCACTATAGTTTTCCTCTGTGGCATCATCGGGACGGGAAAGTCATTCTTTCTCGCGATCTCACCGACTAAAGAGTAACGTCTTTACGATCAGCAATTATTCAGACTTAGATTTCGCGAGAACGTTCATCTATCATCCCGTTGACCGCGGATTCGTTATCGAACCTGAGACCATTGTCACTAGTGTCGCGAGCGCCTAACCGCCGTGGTTGATTGTCGAATCTGTGTTATCCATACTTGTGTTAATAAACCATATCTTTGTTATACCGCAGCGATTTCAATGAAGACTCATCGAACACCCACAACCCTATCCTCAACGCCACCCCGACATATCTATGTACATATTTTATCGTTGACTGGAAAATTTCGCGAATAAAATTTATGGAATTGGAGTGACCGAAACAGTTGCACATAGAATGTGTATCGAAAGAATGGCACGACAATTTTTTATGATGTATGCTTCCAACAGTTTGACGATCTAAAACTATATGACAAGAGAAGTCAAACAAATAATATAAAAACACCGCAGGTATTGAAAAGAGTAAATTTTACTAAAACATTGGATTACAAGCTAAATATAAAATTATCGCAGATACCAGCAAGAATATGTAAGTATATGAGGTAGGTAAGCAAGGTACACCGGAATTAGGCCTTGCAAGCAAGAGGAACGCTGATGGGTGCGTTTAAGGTAACTGATTTCTGGCTGAGATCGGGTTTGGCACCCTTCTCGATTCTGGCTTTCAAGGCCAACGCTGTTGCGTTCCTCTTCATGCAGTGGAATTGATAATCTTTTGATTTCGTTTCGGTAGCCCAGCAGCCAGGTGCGCAGAAAGGCACGTGACGAATCGTGAAGCATATCGTGTTATCAGTCTCATTCATGTGAGTCTTCAGGATGGTGCACTGTTTGCTTTTGACGTTTGTATGGTATCCCCAGTTTGATTCCTCGGTATCTCTTCGTCCAGATTCCTTGTCGCTGATCACGTTGCTCAAATGATTCCTCTCTTCGTATACGCATTCGCTGTCCGGCAGTAATTTCGAGTTCTCAAAAGACTCGCCCTCGCAGTGGTCCTTAGTCAGAGCGTAGCTGGCGATGAATAGCTCGGGTTTTCGAAGAATGCAACTCCTGGGAGCCATAAAGTCGTTGATCGGCTTTCCGTCGTAGTTACCACAGAGACCACGGATGGCTTTGCGGAATTTGTCGCCCGCCTACGAATTTCGATATATTATTAATTACGCCGTTGATTTTTTATTTCATCAAACGTCGTTTAATCCGTTGCTGTTCGCGTATCTTTCGAATCAAATGTCAGAAAATGATTAATTCCGTTTTTAAAGCGAAACTACTTCCTTGGTATGCGATCTGCTCAGAAAGCAAGCGGATCCACTTTTTATACATTTCCAAATGTTAGTATGAAAACGTATAATTGGTTCTTAATTTTTCAGAAACAATTATAGAAGGCTAGAAGGATTAATGACTATCTACGGAGGATATTCGAGCAAGAAATTAATTTAAATCTATACTTTGTTATTTACCTTGATCATTAAACGTTTTCCATCGTAAACAATGTTCAGTTCGTATTCGTCAGAAACCAGGCCGATAGAGACATCACCGATTTGGAAGATCTCGAACAAGACCTCGTCGTCCTCCTTTTCCTGCCAACCCATGTCCCTAGATATCTTGACGAGCTGTTCGTTTATGAAAACTTTTGGTAGGGTCGAAGTAGGTACAAATTTGATCTCCTTGTCACCAAGTAAAACTTTCATTTCTCTCTGTCCGTTTTCCATATCACGAATGAGGATACTCGCGCTGTCCAATTTGTACATAGGCATCCTCTCGTCCGGATTATCTGGGTTCGCACGAGGATACGTGGTCATGACGACGTGCCAGCAGTTGCCTAATCTCAGGGGGTACTCTCTGCTATCGAATGTTTGCGCCCTGGTTTTATCCAATATACAGGCGGCTGTAAAAGTAAACGATACAAAAGTAACAGTTTTGATCGATAAGAAAAATTAGTAGACATTGTAATAAAAATAATCAATCAGATCCACGTCCCTTTTCCTAGTGGAAGTTTGATATCTACCGAGAAGCTTGGAATTACTACGCGCTCAATTCAAAAATTACTAAAATGTCAGCTTCGTATTCTACTCTCGAATCGATAATATAACTAGCTGATGATTCGACGTAAGCACAGTTGAAAAAGTGATTTCACAATTGTTATAATTATACAAACTCACATTCGTCCTCATTGTACAAGAGGTTTTGAATATCCATGTCCTCGTCTGCAGCCATCAGAACGTCCTCCGCAGAAATTTCAAGAGCAGACAGGTCTAAGTCGTTGACGTGAATATTCATAGTCGGAGTAAA